GTAGGACCCATGTCTGCCATGACTCGTCGAATACCATCACCATACCTGACGAAGTAGTCGCGGATGCCTGGAAGTGATGGGGTTACAGAAAGAACGGTCGCTTATTGGATGTTAAAATCACCATTTGCGTTGAGATGAACAGTCTGCAATGGTCCATGGATCGCATATCGTGGTCCGAGTCCAGCGCTCATGACCTGGTAAAAAATGTTTCTGGTGTTCGCTATGTCATATGAATAATTCACCTTGTCAACATCTTCCGGTGATAGGATATCTTCGCCTACCAAACGCCATGCTTCCGCTAACAATGCATATTGTAGTCGATTCACAGCAAAACCAAGCACTTCGCGATTTAGTTTTATAGGCTCCTAAATTTGGTTTAATCTCTTTCTATTCTGTCGGAGTGTTTGCCTAGGCGCGAACCGCATGATTTCTGCAAAATCTGTAGGATTTTTCTACTCTTCCACTTTCTAGGCAGAAGCCCAAGAAGAGGCATTCTCTCTTTCACTCGCCGTTTGCAGGCCAACAAATTCCTTCTAGGTGAATTCGAGGGAAAATAAGTAAGTGGAACTAATAATCTCAGGGGAAGCACTGTCGGTCTTGTACACCGATCGTAGAGTAAATTCGATCGCTGCAAACAGCAAACCAAGCAAATCTTTTTAGAACAGGTTAGGGCTTTCAAGCCAATGTCTTCGGGGTTTTGGGCATGGCTAATGGCTTGGTAATATTTGCGTCCATCGGGGCATCGATAGCTTTTTCAAATTCTGTGGCTTCTCATTTCTAATTCCAATCATTTACATAAAGATGTCTTTGTTACTAATTTTAGCAAATGAATAGAGGCGCAGTACGTAAGAATATGCGCTTTATGGCCTTGAAGGCAGTGGACAGGCAGAATACCCTGATTTTGCTGGAGTTAGGTAGTAGACCCCCAAGTACGCCGTAACCCAAACCCCACCTGCCATATCATGCGCTAAGTCCTGAAAAATATGCTCCAAAACTCCACCCATGACGTGTACTTGATGGAAGTGGGCGGGGCTGGTGGTGTTTTGAAGCCCTTTTTTCAGGCTAGCGCATGAATTGGCAGGTGGGGGTTGGGCTACGGTGTA